AAAAAAATAGCAATTTTTAGGACTTCGAAGTCACAAATTTAAATTCATCACTCGTTTACATACCATCCTCGTTATATTTATAGTAGCTAAGGTCGATATTTATCTCGATCAGCGTAGCTGCGATACTAAATGAAATCATCGCAGTTTTTATTACAGGATATGTACATCAAGCCTAAATCGTTATAAAACAGTTAAACCGACTTGGTATCATGGATGCTCGTAATATGCTATACGCTTTTATTGTCATTGCAAAAGTTGTTTACTAACAATCGTAAAATATAGAGGAAGGCGTACTTAACTATTTAACTGTTGCAAGGGATTATAAGAATCAAGTGAATCGGTGCACCATGTGCGGTGAACGCCCAAGGGCGTTCGAAGAATATGCCCAACGATAATGGTTATAGGATTTCCGCACGCTGTTCATACTAAGCCTTCAAATCCTACCACCGACAGAGTTAATCGGATTAAAAACTGATTTACACGGGAACAAAAATGCAGTACAATTTCGAAATTAAATACAACATCGAAATATTTGTTCATTTTGAGAAAAACAAACGTGAATGTATAAAAATAAAAGAAATTATTTGAAATAAAGCTGGTGGAATTAAACTTAATAACATTGGGCGCGCGTGGTCGTAACGAACCATTTATTATCCGCGTTATACGTTTTCGACCAACCGTTTGTTGTCGTTAAAAAGAACACAATCCCCGGGAATGTGTATTTTTTTTTTTATGACGAAACGTTGCAAATATTTTATACCTTTAAAGTAATTTGCACGTTGTTTATCATCTCTAGGCTAGTTTATACAAGACATTAATTATCCATGCACAGTACCAACACTGCGCTACATTTTTTCCTCCGAGTAATTTTCAACTTCATTTTATATTTCAACTCGTTTAAATAAATATTACCAATTTATTTTACGAATTAAAATATAAAGTAAAATTGAAAATTACTTTGACTAAAAAAATGAAGTGCACCGTTAGTGTGAAAAATATACAGGGTGTTCGGCTACCCCTGGGAAAAATTTTAATGGGGTATTCTAGAAGCCATAATACGACGAAAATCAAGAATACCAATTTGTTGATGGTGGCTTCGTTAAAAAGTTATTAGCGTTTAAAGTTCCACCCGTATTGAATTTTTTTCTCTAAAATGCACAGGATTTCGGTGGTATGTCTATTCACCAAAAATGATAGTAATTGACCCCCGCAACCGAAAATAATTTTTCCAGAACGATTTGAAATTTTTTTTTTTCGTCGTAAAATTTCACACCCTCTCGAATTTTTTTCTGGAAAGTGCGTAAGAATTCGGGACTATGTGTAATGACCAAAAATGATTATAATTGACCCCCGCATCTAAAAATAATTTTTCCAAAACGATTTGAAATTTTTTTTTTCCGTCGTAAAATTTCACACCTTCTCGAATTTTTTTCTCGAAAATGGATAGGATTTCGAAGGTATGTGTATTCACCGAAAATGATTGTAATCGACCCCCGCAACCGAAAATAATTTTTCCAGAAAGATTTGAAATTTTTTAATTTAATTGTTAATAACTTTTTAACGAAGCCTCGATCAAGAAATTGATATTCTTGATTTTCGTCTTATTTTGGCCTCTAGAATCTCACATTAAAATTTTTTCCTGGGGTGGCCAAACACACTGTATAAGTATAATCCGTACGTACTATACGTGCTAATTAATCGTATGAGCGTACTAACTAATGAGTACAACGACGCAATCGATCTCTCCTATAACTGAACGGATGGATTCAAACAATCTTTGCACTGCAGACTATTAATACTTCATTTTTGTACTTTTGTATTGCGTAACTTGTATTGAAAAATTATTATTACCATCAACGAACAGTCCCGTTATTGACTGTAATAATAGTAAATGGTAATGGACTAACGAGGAAGTAATAAAATAGTAAAACTTGCAGGAAATAACGCTGGAAACGAGAGTGACGGAGGTGTCAAGTTATCAGGAAACAACGCAGATAACGAGTTGGGGAAACGAATGCGTGGCCAATTGAACAAATTTCATTTTCACTTGTCTTTTTTTAAAATTTCGATACTATCATTCAATGTATGTACTTATACAAAAATAAACGAATGAAAGAATTGAGCGTAAACATTTTACGTTAGAAATTATCGCTTGCAAAATCAGGAAAGAAGCCATTATTAAAACTTGGTACCAAATACGCTGTATACCAAATTTCATGTGAAAATTGCAATTTATATGAATCTTTATATCCACCTGAAAGAACAAATTCATTAACACGATAAGATGGTTAAAAATACCATAAAACAAAGATAAATAAAATCAACGCTATTATTAGTTATTAAAACGCTGTGACAATTCTATTGGTGACCAATATTGTGAATAATTTGCTTGTTTTGAGATGCTTTGTGGGGAGGTATGAAATTCGAGAAACACCAAATCTTAAACGCGACGAATATAAAAGGCACCAATCGCATTCCACGAAGAGGGTCGCTAAAACAAGTGTCAGATTTGCACGTTCAACAGGATTAATATTTCATTTAGCTCGCGAGTTGTTTACCTGCAACGATATACACAGAATTACAGTGGTTTCCATGAAACGGAAAACGAATCGCTCGCGCCTATCGCGAAACCAGAATTTACAGGTCACGTGACACAACACTGTATTCTTCGTCACGGCGATTCAAACGACAATAATTAGCCACGCTTTCAGCTCTGTGGTCAAACCGTGTTAACGATAAATCCACACAATTTATCTCCGCGAATTAGACGGCAGAGGAAGTCGACTATAAACCGTCAAAAAATTATTATTATCCAACTAAAACATCATTCCAAGTATTACCTTGTTATAAAACGTTTCGACCAATTTCTTTTTTGGCCCAGCGCGTCTAAAATATAATAAACAAATTAAATTAATTTTCAATTCTAAATTGATCTTTTAGAAAATCTACCTCCTCGAGATAACTTTCGACTTTTTAAATCGATTCTGGCATTAATCGGTTCGTTTGGTCGAGAATCGATATTCGTTCAACCTTTCCGTAAGGCGCGGACATATCTCGTGTTTCTAAAATTTCACAGGGATCGCGAATTTTATTGAGAATACGTTTCCCAAAGAGGGTTCGAAAATTGAGATCGATAGACGATTAAAAAAGCTACATTTTAAATTAAGCTACCCTCTACGGTCCAATAAATACTTATCTAATAACACATTATCAGCGATAACCAAAGGATCAATAAATTTATTGAATTTATCTTTTGGAAATTTCTGAAGAACTATGTATTGGAAAGTACATGAGATTATCTATTCCTCATTAAGCATAGTTGCTAGCTTAATGCTCATTTAAAAAATCGGACAATATTGTATACAAGATTTACCATTTCTCAATTTATTATTACCGAATGAATTACCGAATTTTTATTAAACTAACCCTTTATTAAAAATTGTTTAATTAGTAACTACTAAAACGACTTTGTAGGATTGGATTATTTTAACGAACTCATTGTAATCATTTTGATTCAAAGTCGATTTTTTCACCGGCATTGAACGTCTATAGAGTAGCATCGCTTTTGAACGTGAAGAAAAAAACAAATATTCGAGACATAAGCGTTGCACGTTGCCTGGTTTCTTTCTTCTCGAGTCACTTCCTGCGCCGCAGTGACTCGCGTGAATCACCGGCCAAGCCAGGAAGACGAAAAGGGGAAAGTGTTTGAGGCTGTGCAACCACAGCTGGATAAAATTTGAAATGGAAATATTCGCTATTTTTAAATGGTGAATACAAATAAAACAGTATTTCGAATGGGAACTAAACATGTAAAATAAACGCAATGATCAGAGAATAGAATACTTTGTGTTTGAACTCTCAAAGCACAGAATATTGTATTCTGTTTACAACCTTGACGTTTAAAATATTTTATAGCAGCAAACGCGGCTAAAGTAGAGCATGGACCATATGTAGATATCAGACATCAAGGTAAATGGAAAAAAATAGTGCATTCATATTTTAAACATGAAAACAGAAATTCAGAGGATAGACTGATAATTCCAGGTAAAGTAACAATTTTCTTTTATATTTTCTTATAGATTCAAATCTTAAAAGCATAATCCTGGAAAGATTATTGTAAAATTCAAACAATTAATTATAAGATAAAATCATTTATCTAAAAAGTGCACCATTGGTGCAAGATGTTGAATATTTTAATTTTCAACTAATTTAAGGCTGAAAAACTAAATATTATTTATCAATGTAGTACCATTTTCCCAGTCTTTAAAATTTTCTCTTCGTGGTGGTACATTTAATAAATTAATTAATCTATTTAATCCGAATAGCAAGTATGAGAAACAAAGAAGTTTTATTTTGGGTGGAAGAGTATTCTAAACATTTGAAATCTTTTACAGCAATGAAAAGCAAGTGGAAAATATAGAATTTCTTGATAATTGGAGATATTCAATTCTACAATTCCTTAGGAACATGAATGCTAAAATTTACTGTTTCGAAATACAGTAATCTGAATCTTCTGCATAAGCTCTTAACAACCCAATACAAAATGTAATACTAAATTAACATAACTCTAGACCATCAAGTCTAATCATCGCAGTTGTAAAATATTTCAAGAGTGACAGTAGAAACTGTTATATTCATGGCAAGGGAAATAAAACACTATTATCGGATAATTGTGTTTCTAAAACTTCTTCTTCTCACCATGAACCTTTTCAATAAAGGAAACTTTTTAATAGACTTCCAATAGTAGAATTAAACTCTTGTTCTGGAATTATCATTTCAAACCGATTTTTATAAAATGTATTTATGTTTTAACGATTTACACGTTCATGTTTTTTAAAAAGAAAAAGAAACATGAACAAAAAATGGTAGATCTTCGCATAATTCATTTGCAACTACGAAATGAATTTCGTTTTTCGATGGTTATTAACGAAAATCTTTGATACTTGACGAATGTTATAAATATAAAATATTTATAAAATTATAAAAACGATTATACATACGTAAATTTGATCACACGAACGACACTGTTTCTCAAAAATTAAGTGCGTACGCTCGTACAGAAAACTTGAAAAGTCAAGGACGCCAGGAGCACGTGCTTTTTTTCACCGATGATCTCCAGTTAATATCTTCCTCCTATGAATTAACATTGCTTTATAAAAAACTGTGTTCTTTGATTGAGCGTACATAAGTATATACGCAAAAACATTGAAAACGCTGTCGTCAATAGTGACTAGAAAAAATTCATACGGATGCGGCAATTTTTTAGCGTTTTAGGTTAGAAAGAGTCGACGAGAATCAAATATTAGAAAGAAATATTTTTACAATTTGCTTAAATTAGAATCATTCGCTCGGTCCTAAATCTAGAATCCAGTTCGGTAAAACTGTTTAAAATATTTCAAGGCTGACGATAAAACTTACATCCACAGCGATACGAATACAACTTGAATCACTGGCAGACGAAATTTATAAGTAAAAATAATCTATTCGTTACACGAAAGCCATTAATTAGCCAGGTGTGCCCGAAGCTTCTGGTTTTCGTGCGAACGAAACGACTAGTTTATCTAAACTACATGATAAGCCGATCCGACAAGATAGAGGAACCTAACCTGCACGAAAAGTTGGTCCCTTTTTGTGGCATCGAGAGGCACCATTTGATACAAGAAACCGGCGTGCGTGTCGAGCGAAAACGACGGATCGACAGGCACGGCGGTTGTGAGCGAAAATACGGGAGAAAATGGACGTGAGACGGGATCGTCTAATCCAGAAAATACACGGTGGATCGGGCACCGCCTGAGAAAAACGCGCGGGCGGCCACCGTGCATGATTTCCGGCGGCGTTTGCCTGGCGTGCCACGCCACAAAGACCTCACGGGGGGGGTTGGACGGTGTTCTTTTTTTAGAAGCCACATATCCCTATAGAGACATCGGTTTTCCCCTTACCTTGGCGCCTTCAAAATATTCGTTGAATCCGTTCAGCGTACTCGACTATCCGTACCCTCGAATCTAACGGCTCTCTGTCGCACTCTTTCCGTTTCTCCCTTTCTTTCTCGCGTACTCCTTCGTTCACTATCTGTCTCTCTCTCTGTCTTTCTCTTTCTCTCTCTCTCTTTCTGTCTTTCTCCGTCCTTGTCCACGGCCCACTATATCCCAATCTACAGAGATTCTCCGGCGATTACTCGCTTCCTACTCCTGTGCTCGGTTCGTCGTCCCGTCAGCGTAGCGAACACATCGAAAGCCAAGGGGAGTATCCAGCAGACTTGGTGCCGGTGCACGATGGCACGAAACAGAGCGAAAGAAAGAAATGAACGTGTCACTGGCCCGAGAAATTCCGCGCTGGTCAAGAGTCTCGCGCGGCGCGGGTGCACCAAAGCTCTGTGGGGCACGGTCCTCCTTTCGGTCGCCTCGAACAGCCCGATACTCACTGGCCTCAAGGCGGCTGTTCACACACCACTCGGTACAACCTCTGTCCGGACAACGATCTTCTACACCGCGAATACGGTTCGCGTGTACGTTATCCCTCGATTTCGCAGCACTCTTCCCGAAAAACCAGCACGACACCAGCCCACGATTCTACCGTTATCTAGGGCGATGCCTCTCTGCTGCTCGCCGCTTTGCCCTCTGTCCGTGACTATGGCGATCGCGAGCTGCGCAGATGGCGTGCTCGATGCGACAAACGCGACGCGCGCTTGCTCTATCTACCGAGAAGTCCCGTCATTAATCTGTATGACTCGAAGTATCTGATTGGTGCGTACCGAATTTGTACTTTGCCCTAGTTTACACTGGGGATTCTCAACGGAGGCGATAAACTGATGGAATAAATATTTTTAAAAATCCGCGTGCTCGAATGGCATCATGTATCTTTGGATCAGCCCTGACCATACTTTCTTTACCTCCTATAATTTACTAAGATCGATGGTGAGCAGGGCCTACTCTTAAATAGGCCACCAGACTGATAAATCTAATGTTGGCATCAGTGATGCCACTTAATAAACTATTTCCCGATAAACTTGGACGTTCCATCGTATATGGCAGTACAATCCTTTGTATTGCAGTTCATTCTTTTTTATTACGTCATCCGAAATCTGACCTGGTTGATTGTAAAGTTCATAATATAAATAATTCTCGACTCTTCAAAGTTTTTCCCCCAAAGAGGAGCAGTTTGTTCATGTCACTAGACAGCAGACTAGTGACTGTTTAGTAACAATATCATACGAGTGCTGCACTTAGGTAGGAATTAGTAACATAGTTTAGTAACCAATTTAGTAACAATATCATCAGAGTGCAGCACTGAGGTAGAAATTAGTAACATAGTTTAGTAACTAGACAACAGACTAGTGACACTGTTTAGTGACAATATCACACGAGTGCAGCACTGAGGTAGGAATTCTTAAAATCTTGCGTCATTGGATCTGAGTTTCATAGTGAATAAAATGTCGCTAACGAGGTTAGTATTTGTGATAATTACTTACAATCTATTTTCTAATTTTGCGTACAATTGTGCGTTACAAAATTTTCACGTTCTTCAATATTATTGATTAATATACCAATTTTTGTGTGACGTGTTTCAAAGCTCCCAAGAATGTCAAATATACAGTTGTTAAACAAAACAATACGTTTAACCGTGCTATAGTTCCAATTACTGTCTAACAAATTTTGTTGCAAACGCTGTTTATGGTATTACCAATTTCTATTATATGTATTTTTAACAATCTGTAATCTGTTATGTTTTTTTTCATAGCTTGTTACCCGCACCAACACAGGTGGTGTGGGACAGAGAGGATGAAGCACGGGAACAAAAATTACGCCAGAGGCCTGTGTCAGCATTGGTCAAAGCATTTGTTACTGCTCCTCCATATGGACAGCGTAAGGGATGGGTCCCTCGTTGTTCAGAAGTAAGCAACATACCGGTTGTCATTGTATCGTGTATTAAGCATATAACAAATCCATTATACTCTAAAAACTGACCCCAATGTTGCCTTCTTTGAGTCGCGAGAAAACCAAATTACATATATCACTGGGATATGAAATCGCGGGAAAATATTTCAAATTTAACAAAATTGGATTATTTATTCTTATACCCAACGCGATTATAGTAAATAATTATTAAACTTTTTTACTACGACAATCGTTAAAGATTCGTGTAACGTTTTAGGATTTCGGAGATGGCGGAGCGTTCCCCGAAATTCACGTGGCCCAGTATCCGCTTGCCATGGGAATGAAGGGAAAAGAAACCACGAGTAATGCTCTAGCGGTGCAACTCGATGCTCATGGAAAAGTAAAGTACGATATGATCGCTAGGCAAGGGCATTCTAAAGATAAGGTAATTATAACGATTTTTTATGTATACGAACATTCGTCTCTGACTTCGTGTATTTATCGTGCATTCTGTTGCAGATTGTCTACAGCAAACTGAGCGATTTATTACCTTCAGAAATAACGAACGAGGAGGATCCTACTTTGCAACGCCCGGCCACGGATGAGATCGATGAACTCACAGAAAAGACTAAAAAGGCGTTGGAGAAAATAACGAGATCGAAAATTGCGGCAGCTATGCCTGTGAGATGCGCGGAGAAACAAGCGCCGGCTCAATATATTCGTTACACACCATCGCAACAAGGACAATCGTTTAACTCTGGCGCCAAGCAGAGGGTTATTAGAATGGTAGAGGCTCAAATCGATCCTCTGGAACCACCGAAATTCAAGTGAGTCTCGTAACGATACAAGTTCGAATAATTTATTGTAAAAGTTTAATAATAATAATAACGTTTGTTACGTTGAATAATATAGTGTATTCCGATTATAGAATAAATAAGAAAATACCAAGGGGTCCTCCATCGCCTCCGGCGCCTGTTATGCACTCGCCTACGAGAAAAGTTACGGTGAAGGAGCAAAAGGAATGGAAAATACCACCCTGTATCAGTAATTGGAAGAACGCTAAGGTGAATTGATTCGATTCCTTTATCTACGAGCGACGAGCACATTTTGCAAAGCGATAATTTTGTTTAGGGTTACACGATCCCGCTGGACAAACGTCTGGCTGCGGATGGTCGCGGTTTGCAACAAGTTCACATCAACGAGAACTTCGCCAAGCTGGCCGAGGCTCTTTACATCGCGGACAGAAAGGCTCGCGAGGCGGTCGAAATGCGAGCGCAGCTCGAGAAGAAATTGGCCCAGAAAGAGAAAGAAAAGAAGGAGGATCATTTGAGACAACTCGCGCAGAAGGCTAGGGAGGAGCGTGCTGGTTTGAAGTCTTCCGCGGCATTGGGTTTGTATAAACAAGATATTACATTTTATACCATTGTTTTGAGAAAAACGCGTTTAACCCTTCGAGACGGATCGAAGATAGTAGAAATGTGTTCCGATATTGCGTAGATAAATCGGAGGATTCCCGAGAACGAGATCAGCTCCGGCAGGAGAGGCACAAGGATCGCGCTCGAGAGCGTAATTTAGCACGAGCCGCGCCCGATAAACGCTCCAGATTGCAACGTGAACGTGAACGCGACATCAGCGAGCAAATCGCGCTTGGTTTGCCAGCGAAAAGCATCCCCAGTGCTGGAGAGGCGCAGTTCGATCAGCGATTGTTCAACACAACCAAAGGAATGGACAGTGGCTACGGGCACGATGATGAGTACAACGTTTACGATAAACCATGGAAAGATTCTAATTCCGTTGGCTCGCACATATACCGTCCTAGCAAGAATATTGACAAGGACACTTACGGCGACGATCTAGAGAAGCTCGTTAAAACAAACAGGTTTGTGTGGATTTTTTGGTTCTATTGTCAAGATCCTTGTCACTTATGAGTGGTAAATTTGCATTCTACGCTGCGTCTGATTTTTTCAAAATTAGTCGAGATATTTTTTCTGTTGTGTTAGATTCGTTCCGGACAAAGAATTCAGCGGGACCGACAGATCTGCTATGCGATCTGGGCCAGTACAGTTTGAGAAGGACGAGGAGGATCCTTTCGGTTTGGATCAGTTCTTGAAACAAGCCAAACGCGCCAGCAGTTCTACCACGACTAACACAAAGCGCAAAGACGAACGCGAACAACGAAGAGACGATCGCGACAAACGGAGGAAACATTAATTTTTCAGGTTGTTTAATCGTTCTTATTATTTTAAAATCGTTATTCCCACCTTTAGAGTTCTTTTTCTAAACGTGCGTGTACTACACCGTTTAAGTTAGTGGAAAGTCGGGCGAAATCGGATTACGTTCGTTACGATACGATGACGCGTAATTAATCGTGCCGCCGTGAGTCAGATTACATTTTGTACAACTCCGAATTAGCAAAATTCAGTACTAAGATAACGGATGAAGTGCAAGGCGTAACTCGTTCCAAGTCGATTTAGCGAATTTATCGATTATATCGATAATTGTCGAATGCATCTAAATATCTCAGAATCCGGAAAGATTATATTCTTTTCTACTTCTTCGTACACTGTGCTACGCGAGTACGAGTTTTATCTTTACAAAAAAAAAAAATTGCAAAATGTATACAAAACATTACTGAATATATTATTACACAAAGATCGACGTTTCTTCTTTCCATTAACCTCACTAATGTCCACCCGTTTCCTATTTTCTACCTTGTTTATCCTACATCGAAACAATTAGCTGAACATTTTTACACGTTTCAGACTCATAGTTCTTTATTAACACAATGTGCATACAGCGTTCGTTAGATTAACAAAGGAGGCGATACTTTCGTACGGGGAGCAATTGTTACTTCTTAATAATAACGTAGTTATTTACTTTCTCATCAAATCATAGAATGCGCCAAGTTCAGCGACACGTACGACACGTGCCGCCATTTTCTTTTACTTTTTGAAGATCGCGTCAAATTGAATCGAATCCGGTTATCATAGACTCGCAATAATTCAGCGTAATTGCGTTTCACAACGTTGTATTGCTTCGACGTCGCACAATCGCTATGCTCGTCTTGTTCTCGTGATTTCCAAACTGTTTTAATAAGCAATTTTTAAATCGTCGCGATAGAAATAACAACGGATCGTGTTCGATCCGCGGGGAGGAGAAATCATACAGACGCGTGACAAAGTTTGGAAAACACTGACACGCGAGTTTTCCTCTTGTTCTCGCGCGTCCTTGTCCATGAACTGTTAAGTTTAACGATGGCGCCATTTCTTCTACGCGTCTGTACTCGCGACGCGCGTTATAAGAGGAATCAGTAGGCGAGGACGAATTCCCGAGAGCGTCTACGTAGAACGGATTTCACATTATCGAGAACTTTCCTGTAAAACACGGCGACTTAGAGGTGGTCTTCCTAATCAGTCTTTTCTTTTTCGTTCGTAAGAAGATTATCACAGAATTTCCGTTAAGTGATTTGTTTGCCGGGAATCCGAACAAGCGATTTATTCGTCACACAAATTGATGCGATCCTAGCCTTTTCGCAGACATTAATTTATCGGTCGAAAATTCACCCTTATTGCGTATCCACACCCTTACGTGCTACATCAAGATTCTTCTTCCGACAGGTTTCGTGTGTCTGTGGAATTGTTTCCCTCGCGATTAGAGCGTATACCGGAGAACCCTCCTGATGAGAAAGACTAGAATTATTAATAACGCTGTAGACTACGGACTGTTGCGGATCGATGGGAGCCTACATGGAGTGTTCGTTCGAAAACTTTGCATCCAGTATTCAACAAATTTTCCCAAAAAATGCGTTGTTATCGAGATATCTGGACGTAAAGTTTTCGAACGAGCACACTGTATGTACATTTACTAGTGATGGGACTGATACGAGAACGTATCGATGATATTCAAGCAATTTTCCTTACTGTTAAAAAGTAATTGCTTGAAGTTGAACCTGATCTTTCTTATGTTTCTGTATCTTTAACACGTTGGCTGCCATGGTCCATGGAAGAACCCTAATATAATGTAAAAATAAAGCAACCGGTACGCCATTGAATTATCCAATATTTCTATTTTTCATATTACAATTTGAACAAATGTTGAGGCCACCTCTAAGCATGGAAAACTGCCGAGACAGTCAACGTGTTAAAATACTTTTTATAATTACCGATCGAATGTTCTTCATATTTTATTAGTTATTCAAAGTTTCGTATCCAGATAAGAATTTTGCCTATCGATCCGGTATCGATCGAGTATCAGCTTTAAAGATATCGGTATCGAAAAGTCGTACCGAATACGTGTTCTATGTAATTGATATCGATACATTCGTGCAGGTATCAAAACGATTCGATAATATACGATATTTCGCTACGTGGTATCGATAGTATCGATATTAGTTCCATCACCAACATCTACAATGAACACTTCGCCAACCACTCGAGTTATCTTATTATTATTCTAAATCCTTCAGCTGCGGGGGACGCACGCACGTGTTCTTGAAAAACTCTCACGTGTATATTTCGAGAACGTCGATATCTATTTTTCGTTTTTTTTATAATAATTAGAACCAGTACGATGCTTGTTAACGAATCGTCGCTCTTTCCTCGCTTCGTTCCGAGCAGAATAGACGACTATTTTGAAAAAAGATCTATAATGTAGCAGTCGAAGAGTAAATATTAATGTCAATAAAATGTAGGAACGCTTGGCTACTCTAGAAAATGTATTATCGTTTACTTCAATAACGTGAATAACTATCGCCTCTTTGAAGTCTCAATAAAACGCAGTCTGCAGCAGCTGAAGGGTTAATAAATGCACCGGCAGAATGTTGAAACCTTCAGCCGCTCTAGCGAAGCTTTTATCTTTTTGTGAATTTAAATCTGCTGCGTGGAAACAAACATAAACTCTTATCCCAGAAGAAAGTATTCTTGTAGCAGCTGAAGGCTCTGTGTGCGATGCTATAGTACAATTTGGAAACTAAAGTCTGAATATGTCTCTCAAGGGCTTTATGAAATGTTACTTTAAACATTTACATCGAATTTATGTTTAATGTTTAACGATACGACGCAGTACAACGGTGCAAAAAACGGAGAGCCTTCTAATTGCAAAAGTTACCAAATTACGAAAATAAATTTAGGAATTTATACAAAAACGATCGATGCTCTTAGCAATACAAATACAAAATAACTCCCAAAGTCCGAAACAAATTACGCAGTTGTGTATCCATTCTCCGTCTATTAGTCGCTTCGAATTGAGATTAACGAACATCCTTTCAATTATTATTACTTGGTATTGCAATCGCTGATATATACACAATATTCAGTTTTCCGTGTGATACTGCGGCCCTCGAAACAGTGGCGTAACAAACAATACTTCCAACTTTCATTCAAACTTTACACGAACTTTTTTCGTAAATATTATATAACATTTGAAAGGAAGAATTAAGTTCCTCTTAAAAGGGGTATTCTGGTCTAGATGTTTGGACAGTGACTAAAGAAATGTGCTTAGATAGATTCTATTAATTAATAGTGAGTGGTGGGGGGAAACCTACTGGATCTAAACGACTAAATTTTAATATTCACAAATGGGTTAAGTCACTGAATTGTTCGCCACTCGATTTGTAATTGTTGGTTGCGCCATTGCCTCGAAAGGTCCCTACTACCTAACCAGCCAGTGAGTTTCTCGTCTCTGGATGATGAATTGTGGCAGTATATAAGGCATACGAGTTGTCTTCCTCTCTTTCAAGAGCCACGAATGCTCCGATCCTTACGACGTTGCTAAGATGATGCTGAAAATTGTCTAGAAACACTACGGGAGACGAGAAACCGACACTAATTTCCGACGAAACTGTTCAAGTACGCCGCTTTGGAGATATTGTTCGAGTTCGAAACGCTTAAGCAGAACTACGACTCGCAGAGGATTATAAATGGTATCGTAACAATGAGGAGAAAACGCGCCTTCCTTTCCTTTCTTTAAACGTTAATCTTTACGTCACCGCTACATTCGTAATTTCATCACTGTGATATTAAAAACTTGTTAGACATCGACATGCACCTAACATTGAGAGGGATTGCTTATCGTTTTCCTTAGGCTACATTTTGTTACAGAATCATCATTATAATCGTACAATTAATCGTTATATATCTATTATGTACAATTAATTAAGTATAACTACGGCGACAATACTTGCAAAACACGACATTATCAGAGCACTATCCATAAATCGTTTTTCTTTCTTATTTTCTTCTCCCATTCTGCGTTCGCGTTTGTCGGGCCAAGATCTCGTTTGAAAACCGGTCCATGGCGGCCGATACGCAGAACGAAACGATTATCTACATATGAACGGGCATTGCGCGAGCGATACCCGCATTGGAAATTATAAATATCATAAGAAAGTAACGGATCGATTCGACTTTTTGGATGAATAAATACTATACACGTGCCAGTAGGGGCTACCCTCACGTTCTATCGTGTCAAATCTCTCTTCCTCCTTCCCCTCTCGCTCCCTTCCCCTTTCTCCATATCCTGACCGTGATTGGATCCTGCCCAATCCGATAAATTTACATCGTGCGACCAGTTGCCTTCAGGTTTTTTTTTTAAACAAAGACCGGGCAACATTCTACGCGAACAAACGTACAACGAATAACAGATAACAAGTTGCTTACCTTTTATCCGTTACTCGACGCTTTTATCCATAAATGTTGTCCCATCTTTGCTTCGTTACCCTTTCTGTATCTTTATTCTTCTGCAGTCTACATGCTTTTCACGTCTTCCATCGACTTTCTAAGCGGTAACTTATCTTCTTCCTTCCTGCTTCGAGGTGTACGTTCCCTCAGAGTTTGAAGGAGAGCGAAAGATTTTGCGCTCGTTCCATCCGACGAGGGGTCTGTACATCTCGATCGTCGATTTCTCTCAAATTCTGCACGTGGTTGGCGCACGGGTAACAGTACCATAAACACACAGGGTGCACTACTTATGGTTGTTCCATAGCATCTTGTGTCAGTAGCATAGCGGAAGTACTGGTTATGCACTATCCAGAACGTGAGTTTGGATCTCCTATAAAACGTAGGTGAGAAAAACAACGTTGGGTTTTTAATTGCTTGGCTCAGTATGAATCGATCATGATTTCCTTGCTTTCGGGTGGTAAATACCCTGTGCGTTCGTTAGATTATTGGATACGTTTGTGTACGATGTGCAAAATTTGAGAAAATTTGACGCGTCGTGCTGCTAGGCGGCCTGTAAACACCTTACGTGGTCATGAAGCGTACTAGAAGTGAACCGAATGTACAGAGAGATTCCTTAGGCACCACCGGAAGGGTATATTATACTTCCGTAGTGCGACTGTAGGGACCGGATTCCTCCGATTGCGATAGCTTTCGTTCCCGTTTGGCGAACAGGCCCCCTAAAAAAGACTGCTGCTGAGCCAGCCCCTTAGCACCGCCAGGGATCGTAGCCCCTGAATGCATAGGATGAACTTGTCCTGGATGTTTAATGCCTTGGCTCATTGAGCTGGCAGATGTACATTGAAAAGAAATCGACATACCACTGTCTAGCGAGCCCACACTTCCACGGCGCTGCGGCTTTTCACCGGCGACTGCGAACAAAGCAACAAATCTTTCTTCGAGACACGACAAAATGTCATAAGGCAAAAGTACACGGCAACGAATTGTGCACGATTAAGGTAATTTTTGTACAAAAGTTGCATGTTTTGAAGGGGCGATAGAGGCGTAGAAATAACCAAAACGACTACTCACATTGTTCGTGTATGTCAAGAAGCGAATTGCTAAGAGCAGAGCGTTTCAACTGCGTGTCCATATCGGTGGTTTCCGATCTGTCAGAGCATGGCCCCGGGCAAGGACATATTTCGACATCCGCCACGCCAGAGTCTCTGTTCTCTGCGCCCCCTCTGGCGCTCCTGCTGCTCTTCTGTCGTTCCAGTTCCGTCTCAATCCGTAAGGTTTCCATCTCGTCCATTTCGCTGATAGATTCCCTGAGGTCCTCCACGAACTTGCATCTGTCGTGCTCGTTCCTGGCGTTGAACGTGACCAACACTTTTCCATCCACGCGCTGGGAGAGCGTAATTCCGTACGGATAATCTAGCGGAAGACAGAAGCCTCGATTAAAGACACTGTTAAAGTTACTGGCGTTCGAGACGTTCAACGAGACGCGACAAAAGCGTAAGATGGAAGACCAAACGCTATCAAACTATAGTAACCCAGACGCGAAACGTACGAGGAACTTCGAACAGCGTGACGACCATTCCGCACAATGGGAAGCTCTGTCTGAAAGTGTAGGTGACGCTGTTCTTCTTCTTGCTCAAGATCTTCGTCACGACGAGGAGATCGTTGAAGAGGAAGACCTCTCGTTGATGCACGCCAGGTCTCTCCTTCTTGTGAATGTCCGGGATTTCGTAAAGCCTGCAGTAGCAGACCAATCTTCTGTGAGGCAAAGCCATGTTGGGCTTCTTTCCGACGATCGTCGCTTGAACTTTCATCACTTGGGACACGTGGTCCGAGCCAGGCTTGAACTCGTTGTCCTTCACTCTCTCGTAGATGCCCACCAGTATGTCTTTGTCGATGTCCCCGCAGTCGTCGATGCCTCTGAGATTCTTCACGAAATCCTCCAGCCTCATTTTGCGTTCTGGCTTCATGTTAGGTGTGTGCAGGTCGGTGTTCAGCATTATGATGGCGAACGCCAGGATGAAGACCGTGTCCGCGGACCGTAGCCTGGACACCACGTCGGGATTGCACTGGCAATAACGTTGGCTGAAGACCTCCATCAGTCGTTCTATCTTCTGGGCCTCGCCGGGCATCCTGAAGTACGCCTGGAACTTCCTCAGGGCGACGTCCACCTGCATACCCGAGAGGTCCAGTTCCTGGGAGAAGCATCTGAAAAATTATATCGTCGCAAAATTAATACAAATGTTGTTGTATCTTTCGTGCTAATTAGTTCTAGGTAAATGGCGTCTCGATGGCCATCGTTGGTCGACGCTCGAACAACAGAGGTGTACTTGGATGTTTTGGGATTCACGAGTCCCCAGATCCCACTTCACCGGGACTAAATGCAACATTAATCGTCGAGTGTCTTGTCCTCTTAACACGTGTTCCACTTTCGGTCTTTTGTGTGGTCCGGTTGCAGTGGCTCGTCTTACGCTTGTGACCCTAATTGTAGGATTCGTGGAAGAACAGAGGCTCGCTAGATCCTACTTTAGAATTCGAACCCGAGGCTGTTTCGTAAAAGACCCCCCACTGCGTGTTGCAGTTCTAGGAGCATGGGTCTCAGGGTTAAGAGGACGAAGGACAGAAGCGTTTGCTTAGGCTCTGATCTAACAAAGGCTCTGACAAGCATTCTGACGCGTTCGCGAACTGCTGCATATTAATTTTTATTTCGCTCTTTCATGTTTTCTATCCTACATTCGCGGTGACCCGTTTAAATCGACCCACTCGAATATGAAACTGTTGATGATAGCAAAAAATCTTCCACAAGATTTCAAATTTTTACTTTGTAGTAAAGTACCAAGACCTTCTACCAGTCCACCTTGATCCCATTTTTGTTTTAATATTACAAGATAAGTGACAGTAAGTAACAGTATTTTTTACTGATGTATATGAGTCAGACAAAATACGACACAAGACAAGTATGTTCTATCAATTAATACAGTCTACATTTCTTTCTAATTGCAAACCAAGCAGCTGTAAATAGTGTTAAGGCCTTCCACTGTATGAAATACATGCTTGATAGTTCTGTACACGAAACCAATAAACAGTGGAAGGTAACCACATTCTATTGGAACAATTGCGTTGGTAGAAATCTAGCGACAAGTGAAAACGTACTTTCCACAGTAAATAATAGTGAACAACGACACCGCCTGTTTCCGCTACGTCGGTCACCGATCACTGTGATAAACAAATAAATTAACTTTCACCGAATGTACCGTTTACATCTGTTGACTTCGTGACTTTCCCTCCCCGCTGTCTAAAACAGGAAATTACGAATTACTCACTCAAGCACAGCCATGTTGAAGGTGTTCTGCAGGTTCCCAAGGTACTCCCCTATCATCTGCTTGGACAGCCCTTTCCTGCTGATCAAGAGTCTCGCGACACCCTGGGGACTGTTCTCCAGGAATCCTCTTCTGATCAGATAGTTGATCCCCCTTTCAGGCTTCTTATTAAACAGATTTAGGCCGACTCTGTACTGACGTTTTCTGACCGTCTCCGAGACTTTGTAGCTCGTCTGAGGCATGCTCTCTTGATGGTCCATCAGTGGTAGCTGATAACCGGAACTGGCGTGAGAATGACCAAGATCCTTCACGCTGTTCATCATCGTGTTGGAGTCTGTCGCGTGGTTCGCGCATTCTTGGTGTTCGGGTGAGCTTGACTGAACAACAGATCATGCTTGTTAGTTCAATGAATTTTAAAAAGATCTAATCGACAATCTCTGAGTTTTATTCAATTTGTGGAGCATGTTGATATTCAAAGACACTAGACATTAGAAAAATTATTATAACGAAGACAATTAACGTTGCTTGTTGTACCAAAGACCACCATGATCCAGAGATCACAATTAATCTCCAGTATTTTTCAATGCTCTCTCCGGGTGGTTCATCAAAATCAGAGATCGTCGTTAGGGTAAGCAATGAATAAATATTATTCTCAGCGCGAGACACCACTATTTTCCTGGATACAAAGGCGACGAAGATCGAGAGAACTTACGATTCCTTTGTGCTTCCACACGGGTGATCCTCTTTGGGCGTCACCCTCGGAGCTCTCGCAATTAGTGGAATCGCTGCCGGAGCTTTGGACCGAGCTGAGACTTCCGTTCTCGACGCTCTTGCTCAGACCGTTGTGGCGCGGCTCCATGGACCTGGAGGTGATGGAAGACGTTCTCTTTGGCACTTCCGGTGGGACCTTTTTCGCAGAGCCCCTGGATCTGCCGCCGGACCCCAGGTGACTGGCGTTGCTCCAGTTCTGTGGCATCGGCGTCTGAAGATTGTGAGGCGTCGACGGAGACGTGCAGGGCGTCCGTAGCAAGTCTCGCGGAGGTGTTTCTTGTCTGAGGCCGCACAGGGCTTCCTGAACATTTATTGCATACTTTAAACTTATTGAAATACGTACCCATTTCATTTCCCCAAAGGGATCTAAGCGCTGTCCATCGGCAGAGTTACGTCGACTGCAGTTAAAAAAAAGAGGTAAAGAAAGCCCTAACGAGCTCACCTGCGGATTGTAATAATGGATGCTGGATCCGCTCTCTTGCGAGCTGGATTCCCAACACGGACTCGGAGGTAACTGTTGGTGTCTGTTGCAAGGACTGGGGGCCAGAGAAGGCGTATGCCTTCCGCTCTGATGAATATTATGGTTCACGTGCTGATGGCCAGGAACCTGGACCTCGCACCTGCCGCTTTGGCTTCTGGGTATGGGTGACTGGGAATTCTCAACGTGCCTCCTCTCTCTCAGGGACATGCTTCTGATGGGCATAGGTCTGTTCGCCGTTTGCGGCTGCTGGATGTAGATCTGACTGTGGTAGACCATCCTCTCGTGCTCGTTCATGCCAATCGATCGATCCGACTCCTGAAGCTTTCTGCTCAGCCTTTTCTCCGCCTTGGCCATGGCGGTGATCGCCGCGAACTTCTTCAACAGAGTGTATCTCCGAAACGCGCGCTGGATGGTCAACGCCGCTTTCCTCGCCTTCACGCCGCCATATTTTCTTTCTAACACCTCGATCTGCTTGTCCAAGAGGTCCTGGGACAGCTCGTATCTGTTATAGAAGCGAGGACAGTGAGAACAAGCTTGGAATTTAGGCTCAAGTTAAAGAGTAGGCGAGTCTGATAGAAGCATGTGTTTATTACTCCGATGCCACTGGATAACTACAATTACTTAACCCCTTGATATATAAGTGAAACTGCTACATAATTTAAATAAACAAATTAAATACAGAGGTATTAGACACCCTTTTGCACTGCCAAGTTGTTCAAAATCTGTTCTTGTGTTCTTTCTAACTGTTACTGAAGAGAATATAAAATAAAATGGGGTCGAAGCGTTTACTATGAACGCATACTCGAGCACCCGCTTCTGTCGGACTACATTATTGCTTAATGTGGATCCCATATCCTGCAAACCATTATTGACTTCTCGATACGGTTTTAGTTTGCAACCGGACATCCTCGTCTTCTAAGTTTCATATTTGCAGTAGCCGAGAGGCTATTATAAATTTAATAAGAAGTCAATAACGTATAGGGCGAACTGGCAACGAAGACGTGCGGCATATCATGGACTCCCGATTAGCTAAACTAGTTCGACGCGAGTGAATTTAAGTTCGGACGATCCATCGATTAATCTGTAATTCTTACGCAGTCTGCAGCCGGCATCTCTTCGGCACGTCTCCGTTGCGAACGGGTCCCTTTTTAAGGTGATTCTGTTGGTACCCTGTCTGAGGTTGACCGCCATAGCCCTGCACCATCGTGCCATAACTTTGCGGCTGATTGTAACCGGTGTGAGAGTAGACTCGCACATTCGACGAGGAGTTGTAAGGATTGTGGCCGTAATTCTGATTCTGTATGTACGACTGGCCCGTGATGTAGGACGTCGTTAGGGATGTTTGGCTGCCCGACGAGTACACCCCGTGCATGCCACCGGTGTGGACCTGATTCACGTTCGGGGCGTGCTGCGACGGCCTCTCCATTTTTGACGGAAAACTGTAACAACATAGGGAAACACTCGTTGTAGCAAATGGGAACATCGATGGAAAAATCGTTCACAAAAATGCGCGTAATTTACATTTCGAAACATTAAAATCCTTCAACGCGTTCAGAAGTTATGATGAAATTTCAGGGAAACATTTATGGTCAGACGTTATATTTTCAGTAAAGAGTTTTTTTTCTCGAAAGTGGGTAGGATTTCGGGGGTATGTCTATTCACCAGAAATGATTGTAATTAACTCCCCTTAGCTAAAAATAATTTTTTTAACGAACATCCAATTTGAACAGCTGATCCGCGTTGCATTAGCCACAGATTTGATCCTTTCGTGGAACACAACTTTCACGGTAATGATATCGTCACGCGGAAACGCGTCGACTGTAAAAACATCTAACGTTGCCCCTCTGTCGGTCCCACCTTTCCCTCGAGTTTCACGGATTAACTTCTTTTTCGAGAGGAGCGTTTGCTGGGTTTCGGAAAGTAAGTTCACGTCCGACTCGGTGCGACGCGACGATTAACATCTGCCTGATAAAGCGGAGCATTTAACATTTCCTCCGTGAGTTAAAATGTCACGAGCCTGTGGCAACAGATAAGCGCAAAAACGTGTCTTTTTGCGGACGCAATTAACCTATAGACTGGGATAACTTGCCGATCATAAATGCCCGTATATGCAAGGATAAAAATAGACGGAGACACTTTAAAGCTGTTTTGCCTCGCTGCAAACGCGACTGACATCGTTTGCCTTCGTGCAAATCGTACGGAGCGCAGATAAAGACATCGAAAAACTACTGCGATCGTCCCCAAAGCGACCCTACGCGCCAAAACAAAACGAGTCGCGACTCATTTAATCTTGAATATACTACACTTTGACTCCAATTGCTATTTTTAATATAAAACATGCGAGGTTCTTTTTAATAGAAATACGAATTCTTGAAAATAAGCAAAGAAGTAAACATCATTGTCAATTAAATCCCTTTAAAGTGCAAAGAAATTTTTTAAAATTTATCTCTACTTTTCTTGTTGATCAGAAATTAATTAACGTCCAACACACACTCTTAAATATTGTTCATACTCGTCTAAACGTTCTGTATACTTGTCGAGACCGTACAAACGATGAAGTAACTCATCTTTCACAAGTGACAGGCTGAAAAAAAAAACTACTGCGGCGTTACAGCATGCAATTTGCGAGGTAATCTCGTGGACTCATCTTGCTTTTCATTATATTTCAGAGCACTGCCACCGCTTTATTCAATATCCGCTCGGCACGTGATTGCCAAACGTGATTTCCGGAGATTTCACTTATCGCGAGAGATAGGCCTACGATTTCCACCGAAATGCGTTTCCTGACCTGCTGGAGAGAACTGTTCCCGACGTTGGCTGGTTACATTATTAACGAGTTTTTCGTACGAATTTCTCGTCGACAGAATTTTTAAACTTTTTTTATAAAACGACTGGAAAACGTTGGAAGCCTTTAACGCACTGTTTTATACCGTTTGACTCGGTTTTCTGTTGCGTGGGCTCGAAGTCATTGACACGAAAAATCAAAGAATCAACGAACGATCTCCTTCGAGCTTCGTTGGGAGTCATTTGAATACCACCCACGAGGTTTTATAACGAGAGATATTTAAAATGTAGATGTTAGTTTGCAGAGAACGGTAAATTTATTGAAATATTATGACACGGAGTATTACGGAAGTTCCAAGAACAATACAGAATGTACTTAAACCGTTTCGAAATTAAAATTTGCTTTAAGATAGTTTACGAATTTTTGTTTCCTCTGTATGTTTAGAATTATTTTTATTCCCGAATCTCTGAATTCCCCTTGGTTTTCTATGAAAAAACAGATGATCGCGAAGTCTAATATTCTAGGATCTGCTTCAATTCATCGTGGCCTACATTTCGAGCTCGGTTTCATCCAAAAACCGCTCGTTCCATTCGTATCCACCCTCTTATAAAGCAGAATTTGCTAGATAAGCCCCACGACGAGCCATTTCCACGCCAAATCGACTGCTTTTGTATACCAAGGTTACAATTTTGATAATGTCGAAGTATCTTGTAGCTTGCACGAAATTAAGAAGAGATTGAAAAAAGAAAAAATTTATTTCCGATAGTTTCGGTCCGACTATCATATCTGAAACAAAATATGGCGCCATTTTGTACCAAATAAATTACTTATTACTCGAACACAATGCCGCACTGATTAGTAAGAACTACAGCAATCTAAAACTCCTGTGATCCTTAGCACGAATGTTCTCTGTCACAAAAGTTAGGGTTTGTCCAACCAGCTGTCAGCAATTACCATTCGAGAAACCGTTTCGCGCCCCGTGAATCACGCTGCGGGGTGAATCATCGCAGGAAATTCACCCCCGTACGAATGTATGTACACCGTGCGTATATCACGCTACGTACCCCGTGAGAAAATCGGCCACCCAGGCCACCATTTTGTTCCTCTTCGGACGCGTGTCTTCGAGGATCCTCGTCGAACTTCACTTATGTGGTCACGATAAACTATCTCTTCATAGCGAACGGATCGCCACAGTTACAGTTAACCGGGTAACGATATCTCACTACGAACAATGGAATCGAAACTGAGAAAGTTTCGAGGGAGGTCAAGATTCGAGGTTATTGCAGCTGCGTTGGAATTATTTCAGTTAGGAAGGGGCTCGAAAGTGAAGTTACGTAGTCAGAGAGAGGGTCAAGATCGATCGAATCAAGGAAAGGTAGTTTCAGAGGTTGGAAAGCAAGATTAGTGCACGAAGAATTGTTCAATAAAGGAAATACTAGTTTCAAGGGTAAAAAAGTGAGGCTATGTGGACGAAGGATGAAGATTGCATTATGGTGGTTCAGAAGCGATGTTATGTAGTTAGGGAATGAAGACTGATTTAATTAAAGACAAACTAGGAGATTGCTTGGATCCGGTATGAACAAGAAGCTAGGCTATGAGGTTGGATCAAGATCGATTTAATCAAGGAACTATTACTTTCAGGGAGAAGTATCAGGCGTCAATAAGCGAGAGAATATAGTTAGGGGACAAAGACAGATTTAATTAAGGAAATTAAATCCTAGATTCGGGATCCAAGAACGGAAATTATTTAGTTGTAGGAGGAAGATTCATGGAAACAAGGCGGGGCAAGCGTCAGTCGAGGTCGTGTAGTCGAAGTATCAAGATTGATCGGGCCAAGGAGGGACAAGTTTCGAGGGTCGAAGGTTCTGTGGTTGAAGGATCGAGATTGATTGGGCCGGGGGGAGTTTTGGCGGTCGCAAACCGAGGCTTACGTAGTTTACTGGATCGAGATCGACTGGATATCACGGAGACACGATTTTCGGGCGTCGATGCGAGCCGGAGAACGGATCGCGACACTCTGACGATCGCAGGACGGCCCGATCGAGGAGGAGGATCGCGAGCAGCTGGCGGCCAGAGGCATTCTTCGTCCTCGACACGAGGATCGGAAATCAGTGAACGGTGCAGAGGGACGAGGGGTGAGAGCACGTGCACACCGGCCTCGACAGTGGTGAGCAACCTTCTGGAAGAGGATCGATTTTATCCCCCCTCCAATCGTCGATAATCGCGCGAAGGTTACGTTACCGAGTTTTCAGGAATTTTTCGTCCGACCAGGTGGATGGACTCTCGGTGACGTCGAGCGTTAATCAAAGAATCGTAAGAGAATACGATTAACGGATTAACCTACATTTTTATCGTTCGTTCTGCTTCCCTAAGTAGCAAGACCTTTCTCGATATAAATTGTTTAATGCGGCGAATAAACCTTCCGATGGAGGATCGATGGGGACTCCCTTTTATCGTATCGTCGCCGGAAGGTCACGCCTTTTAAAGGGGAACTTTTATTTGCTAATATCGTTAACCAAGCTTTTTTGGATTCTAATTGTAGTATCACTTATCGTGGACTATGTTTGATTCAAATTATTTTAATTGTTTTTGCAGTCGATTTGAGGTCTGAGGTTTGATGCAATTGTTATTATATGCTCGAAAATATAGTTTCGAACGAACGAGTTTCCTCCAATTAGAACATACTCGTGCCAGGATTGTTACGAGCCCTGGTAAATAGACACGGTGTCAAGAAAATAATTAATCTCGACCCTGAAATGGGTTAAGAGACACTCGACGAACGACACGTGTGTCCGTGTGTGCTTGAGCGAGCGTGGGCAGGTCGTTGGTGTGCAAGGAACATTATTCGACGAAAGGGGAGGATTTCTTTCCGCGCATCCCTCGAAAATGTGTATCGCCTTTCACGTACGTGTCAGCAGGTATGCGGAGGCTACCGATCACGACGATGACGAGGACGGCCGTGACACTCAACCTTCCACAACTTATGCAATGCGCGACAATTAAGCGCCTTGTGCAACATCCAAGATGCGTCGGATAAGCAAACGTGTTTACAGTTCGCGACGTCCCGTGCGATCGGAAGGCCTGAAATCTTTGCACCGATCAGATTTCGCTCGGGACGAGTCACGCAACGGGAACGGATCGTAAACGAGGGAAAAGAGATTCAAACTTCCCGCCACATTCAACGGTCATTTAACTGCGCTCTTCCGGACATTGTTGCGTTTATTAATATTTACCGTTACGATACAGAACGTATCTAAATTATCACGAGTGTACTTGTTCATGTGGTTCAACCATAGTTTGTTATTTATTTTCTCGATCACCCTTTTCATAAATAAAAGTGGCGCGACAAAACGAAACTCCGCCATTTTCCCAAAGGATGCGAGCCACGGTTTCCCTAATTTCTTGAACCGTAGAAATTCACTTTCCTATCGCCTTAAGCGAACGGTTCGCATCCGTTTTCTTTTCGAAACGGAGTTTACTTTCCCATGAGCAACTCTGTATCACTTTCGCACGATTCATTCGGTCCGCGGAATTGTGCACCGCGAAGCAGCCTTTACGATTGTCTTAAATGAAACGTAATTGCGAGGGAAGTTGTTTCCGGGCAAATGGGATTGTATTTAAAGCGGCGAGCATCGACGATCGCCTGGCGCGTAT